CGAGACCCTGCAGCACAGGGCCGGCTCCTTCCCCTAGGTCCTGCAGAGCCTAGAAACTTTTTGCAAGTTAGAAGTTTATTTACCGAGGCCGGCAGTTTGGAGACAACATAGTCATTAAAACAGAGGCTGGGGTTTAGAGTTCGGTCTGGAAAGAGAATATAATAAGATACATTTTTTTTTTTTTTGCTGAGACTTTTGTTAGCTTTGTCCTCAAAGGAAATATTCCTCATTTTTCCTAGGAGATTTTTTAGCCCAAACTGCACTCAATTTAATATCTGAATGTTCAAAAAAAAAAAAAAAGTCATCCAAGCTCCAGTGATTTATTTTTTTTTCCCCTTTCAGTTTTCATTTGCAAAAGAAAACCCAAACAGTTCAGCTCTGGCTGCCCCCCACTATTGCTCTCTGCCCAGTTTTTTCAGGGTCCCCCTGGATCAGCGGGAGCCCGCGGGTGCTCGGCTCTGCTGTCTGGCAGCCCGGAGCCCCATCCGCGGCCGCTCTTGGCTCTCATCAACATTTGGGAGAGGCTGAGGCACCCCACGTCCCGTCCCGCCACGCTGGGCTCCATCTTCCCATTTAAATTCATTAAATTTGTGCAAAACCTGCCTGGAAGCAAAACGCAGCAGCCGCAGCACGCTGCGTCCCGTGCTTGGTAGGTGGCCCGTGTAAAAATAACACCCGTATGAAAATAACGCCCATATAAAACTAACGCCCGTATAAAAATAATGCCCATCTGGCCCTCAGGTGTTGGGTACGTTTAACACCATCGGCCGGCGGAGCTGCCTGAGCCTCCGGGCGCTATTTCAGCTGCTGCCGTGTCCTCCCCGCGCTGGCTGGGTCCAGCAGCGTCCCCAAATGTGTCCCCAAAAATGGCCTGATGCGGCCACAGCTTCACTCCCCCCCCCGGGATGGGCATCATCCCATCGGCACCACCACCAAAACCACTTCGCAGAGGGGCTGCACCCCTCGAAAGCCCCTTTTCCGCCGGCGGCCCAGTGCACGTCGGTACAACAAAGACCTTTTTATTCGTCCTCTTTTTCTTTTCCCCTTTCCTCCTCCTTCTCTCTTTTCGTCGCAGCTTTAAACAAGGCTGCGAGTGAAGCGCGGATCAATTTGGAACGGAAAGTTCCTGTAAATAATAGCTGCACCTCGGGGTGTTTCTCTCCCAGTAGCTGTGAAGAAAAGGCGGGTACGTCGAGGGTTTGACTTGAAACACATTTCCGCTGGCCAGGGCTGCGGAGCTGGGTTCTCGCCCATATTAGCATTTATTGTGGTTTTGTTCCAGCTTTTCCTATTTTTTTTCTTGCCCGCCTTTTTTCTTTTCTTTATTTTTTTTTTATTTTTTTATTTTTTATTCTTTCTGTGCAAACACCGCGAAGGGCTACGCTTACGGAGCTGCCGCAAAGGAGAGGCAGAGCA